TGAATATAATAATTTATAATCTGAATATAATTTATAATCCGAATATAATTTATAATCTGAATATAAATATTGTACTGTATATCAGAATAGAATTTTTGTGACTTTTGTTAGAGAATTCTACTTAATAAGTAATAAAAAGTAAAAAAAAAAAATGCAATTCTTTCTAATTTGGGTCATGGACTAGGAAACTCTGCTTTTGAAAAGGTTTCCATTTTATGATTTAATATTTGTTAAACCTGAATTATTTGTTTATTTTTAGACAATTTAAATGATTCTGCTATCTATCTATTTTTAGAACACAAATGTTTAAAAATTGTTCTGCCTTCAAGTTAAAATATCTTGATAAATTATTATATTAACATAAGGCAAAAAGTGAAATATATATAGATAGAAGCCAGCACTTTAATTTGAATCAAAAAACTCAAAATTTTTTGAAAAGTGCCAAAGGTGGGTTTTCCTAGTCTATTACCTATTTACTTGTCAAATCATTTGTATCATAAATTTTTTAACAATAACTGACTTTGCAAGAATATCTATTTTTATTTTGCAACGCATTCGAAGATTTAATTATCAAATTTCTCGATAGCAAGTCTGTTAATTAACATCATAAAACTTTCATTACTCAAGATAATAATTATTCTAATTCATCATCTGAAATTCTTTCAAAAGGTAGTAATAGTTCTAAATCTTCAAAGTTCTTTCAAAAAAAAAAGTTTAAATCTCAAAGTTCAGAAAGCTTTAAATGACTAGCGTTGTTACCCAAAAATAATGATAAAATTATTGTGAATACTGAAGTTCAGATATTTAATATACAATTTAAATATTATATAGTAAAATAAATAAAAATAATTTATTTAAGTTGTTACAATTTGTAGCAAAAATCTATGCAAGAAGTTTATAAAATATTGCTATAAACTCTCTTGAAAGATATCGTAAGAATATGAAAGTACAGCTTAATAAACAAAATAAAAAATTTACAACTGAATACCAAATTGCATCTATAATATATCAATTGTGGTATCTAACAAAATTATTAATAATTTAAAAGTTGCTTCATAAATACTAAATAATAAATATAATAAAACCTAATAAATCTATTGATCCTCTCTAAAGTTATTCTTTCAAATCATTCAAGATTATAGTTGCTAGAGTAATTACTGAATTATAGCAAAATGCTATAATACTATAATGGCGTAAATATATTTTCAGAATATCTGAATGCTATATACTATAATGTCATAATTCTGTAATATCGTAATGCTATACTATGTGATAGCTAAACTAATATAAATATTATTTGAGTTTATAATCTATCACTATTAATTAATAATTTTAATAACAGTTATATAAATATTTTTGATATAGTAGTCATTATTTGAGTGTTTTAGAATCAATCCACATCTCCATGATTTCTGAACAAATTCAAATTCTAGACTGTCAAATGAAAATATATAATCAAATTAATCTGAATTCGAGCTAATAGGAAATTAAATTGCATGAAAATCATAGGGACTAACACCTAATACTTGGCCAACACTAACTATAAATCTGCTTGACCCTAACCCTAAATTGGGCCAACATTATTTTGTCAGGGAAAATTTATGCTACTGGAAAATCATGAATTCAAGAATTGAGTATACTTTAATAAAGAGAATTAATACATCACATAAAAAATTGTATGAAATCTAAGTTATGAAGTTTTAAGTAAAAAAGTTATATAAAATATAAAAGTAATTTTTGTTACATCCTCTTAAATTTTGTACGTGAAACCACTTGAAGTTTATAATTTATCAGACTAAATATATCAGATTTTATAATAATGGAGTCTGACAGGAAATAAACTTATAAGCCAGAAGTCTGGTTTTCCTTCATGACACCAGATATTATACTGTAGGTTCATATGGCATTATAGCATTGTAATTGCATTTTTTTTGAAAATTAATTCTCTAGCAACTATATTTGAGATCATTATTTGAATACACAAATTATGTTATATCTATTAACTTTAATTTGGTTAATGGTATCATAAATTAGCTTAATAATGAGAGATACTTTGATAGAAGGTACTTTGTTCAGAATCAAGTTGTATAAGATTGACCTACAAACTATCATAATAGAAATAAAGTTGCACAAGATCTAATCATCATTTTTCTCCTACCCTACTCAAATCTTTATTAAAGGTACCAAAAAAAAAGACAAAACAAAACTATTTATCCTCTAAAAATGAGTAATTTCTTTTTAAAAATAGCATTTTATCGACTAAATTTAGTGCAAGATAAGTTTTTCTTGCTGCTATATGAGCAACTGCATCAGAAATAAATGCTCAGAAAGGACTGAAGTTGTAAGAATGAATAAATATTTGCGAGCAAGCTGACAAAGCAGAGAAAAACTTGTATGTCTTTCTCTCCACCACATTAAAGGATCTTGACTCTTATAAGCAACTTGTTTTTTTATATATCATGTCAACTCATCTTCAACACTAGTTTATGAAGTGGGTATTGCAAATAAGCCTCATAATTCAGCATTTAAAGAATCTCATTCTTCCTCTTTAGCAGTAATAACAGCCTCTGTATTATTATTGTTCTGGTTAGATTGAGCTTCTAATACTAACAATTCTGCATGAAGTTGTATCTCAGTATTTTTACATTTATCATTAGTAGTGAATGGAAGTAATTTTAACACTCGCAGATCCAACATAGAAGCTTTTAATCCTACTTCATTAGAGATACCTCATAATTCATCAAAAGATAAATAAATTGCAGCATACATTTTTTCTAGAAGTTCGTTACAGTTTGCAGAAGGTAAATACTTTATAGTATTTGTATCATCTAATTCAATAGTATGTTTTGCTTTATACTCTAACAATAAAAAATAATCATATTTATTTCAGACATAATATTTAATATACAGTATATGCACAAAAAATATTTTAAGTACTACGTCTCTTATGCTTGCTACATTTGCGACCTTGACCTCAACCTTGACTATATACACTTCTATGTATATACTGCTATTGTTTTCTATTTCTAGCTAATGGTATGCTAGCTTCATCACTACTACTAATACTTGTATCATCATCTGAACTTTCTAATCCATAAATCAATTCTATCCAACCTTCGACAGATTTATCATTTTCAACTACTGGTATATATTTATTCTTCAACATACAGATATACAGGTATATAAAGTTTATAGTAGGATAATTCAAGCCAGAAAAATGCCTTGTTATTTCTTCAAAAGGTTTTAAAATATTAACTACTTTATCCATGAATCTTAATATAAATATTATATTAAAAAAATAAATAAATAAAAAGAATAACTATAATATAGGAATGAAAAATAGCTAATAAAATTAAATATTTTTTTTCTTCAGAAGTCAAACACAATTGGTCTAGTTTTTCTCTCTCTTTTCTTGATATTGAATCTGGTTTGTATTGTAATGATGCAGCTAGTGAATACATTATCAGATGCAATTCTAATATCCTTTTTTAGGTGAAATA